AACTTTCAATAATTAATTTATACACGAAGATCACGGGAGAAAAACATGACAAGTACATTTTTCCTGATATTCCGATTTTAATGTCGTTTTACGATTAAACCAGTTGAATCCTGATACGATATAATCGAAGACCACAGGACGAGAACGTGAGCGATCTTAAGATCCAATATTCGATTGTATCAACATTAATCACCCCTACGCTATCAAAATTTGTTTGGTTGTGGGTTGTGGTCGGTTCATAGATTTATCACCTATTTCTGAGAGACAGTTTGAAACCTAACAAGAAAAGAAAAAAAACGTTGTTCATATTATTTAAACACGACTGTTATTCATCTTGATCAAAGTTCACACGGTAAAACACGATAAATCCATTTCTATTTATTTTGTACTTTCTACGTTAATTTGTTATGTAGCAATATAATATATGAAAATCGTTAATTTTCATGTTTCAACATTGTCGAGCGTAGCAAAGTTAACCACAACAACGCTATTTATCATATTATTTGTAAACTTAAATAGAACATTTTAATGCAATGTAGTTTAACAGAAAGTTGCCACTTCAGCCTAAAGATTACACCTCCGAAATAAGCGATAAATATATTTATAAACATCGGAAAAATACCATGAGCATAATAAATATTAATCGTTGAAAGGTTCAAGGAACAGAATATACGCGCACTTAATCTCAAATAACTTTAGTACACGAAGATAGTCGACAGCATAGTGAATTTAAAAATTTCCCCGCTACAAAAGAGAAAAATATGATTTATCGTATTTTCCCTGTGATCTTCCATTCATTGTATAATTTATTTTCACGCGCGAACTGACAACATCTGCCATATAGAATGCTATTTTACGATATCATCGGTCCTCTTGTCTAGTCCCAATGATAGTTCACTTGCCTCACGGGAATTCTATTCATACGACAATCGGCTGTGTCGTAGGACTGTAGTAATTTAGCGTTTGTCTCTACTCGTAGAGACCGATTTGATACCTTTGACGGTGACTTTGTTGAGCTGCTTGGCAATTGGTCCAGAATACGGCATGATTGCTGGGATCGCGGTAAATCTAATTCTCCTGCTCTATTTCGCGGCCAGACCTGGATTATTGATCGAGGAACGTGTTGTCGATGGGCTGACGATTCTGTTTGTATCGCCGAAACAATCGTTGAGCTACCCAGCTGCGGAATATCTTCGTGAACGGGTGATGTCGTGGTGAGTAAAGTCACCATAATCGCGTTTCACTGGCTTTGTAATTGGATCATAAATCGGCGGTTTCGCGAGCCTCCTGTCAGACCGTTCGTTTTATTTACCTCGAGTAACCTGACATTATTGTTCTTTAGGTGTGATGCCAGAGTAGGAACTATTCCCGTGGTAGTGGAAGGTCGTCACGTGCTTAGAATCGATGCAACCGTCGCCAAGAACCTCGCTTTGCTGCTGGCCGACTTGGAAACCAGGGACCAGAAGCTGGTGTTCTGGAATTGGTGCGAGGAAGCTAAGAGAACTTTGATAAGCTACGACGCTTCTCTCACGATGTCCTTCAGAAGTTCCGGCAGCATAGCTCAAATATTTTCAGGTAGACTCGCGTCACCTCATGTTCCACGCGAGTGAAATTTTGAATCTAACGAATGCACGGGACACTTGCCTCTGAAATCTTGCTAAGCTTCGTTCAACGAGAGCTGCTCTTCTCTTTTCAACCTGTTCGCGTTTAACGAAGCCTCACGAAACGCTGAACGTATTTTATTTAACGATGGAACACGCCTCGGCCAAGATTAGTTCTTCGTGCAACTTCAGTCGCCTTCAATTTGCCTTTCGATGCACCAACATCTATTGAAATTCCACGAACCGCGCCGAAGGTGTCATTTCAAACAGCATCTCGACCAATCGTTTTATGAAAAGACGATCAAGAAATCGTGCTTCTCGTTATTCGATGAAAAATCCGATGGAATAAAGGCGCCACGTTTTTATATGAATGTAAAAAGAGGAAACGTATTTAATCATTCGTATGAAGAAATAATTTTCTTTATCGCGAAACATTTGTACAGCATTTGGCTTGACCGAACGCGTTATTTAAATATTTTTAATTGTTTTCTGTAAAATATTCGATTGCGATGACGATTTAAATGATGTTAGATCCAAGTATCCATACGTAGTTATATCGTAATATTTACAGTATTCTAAAATTGACTTCTTTTCTTTTTCCATTTAACGATAGAGATAGAATATGAGAGAGGAATACTATTTCATCTGACATTGGCTTACGAAAGAAGACGAATAAGTCTGATAACGTTTGCTTTAAGAAAATTACCTGCACTCATATTAAAATTAATTCCGCAAATGGTTACTTAACTATTCCGTGGAAAAATAGTGAAAATTTCTGCCACATTTCGTAAAATCACAATTTTAGCCATTATTTTAAACGCTACGTTTATTTCAAGATAATACACGTTTTTTATTCTTATCTTCCTAATTTATCTAATTTTACGCTTCAGACGGGAAAACACGAACTATAATCATGTTTTTCCAATTTACAACTATAGATGTAATCTTTTTCAATTTTCCTTCAATTATTGTGAAATAATCGTGATCGCGTGTTGTTTTGCGCTCAACCACGATAACGATAGATTTTTTAGTCCTTAACTATCATGTGTGAAAGTTTTCCATAGTGTATATTTAAAAAATTGAACAATTAATACAGTTGAATGTATCGAATTAAATGTTTTACTATTATTCGATATTAGATAAAGAGTAGAAAATTATTGTTTGCAGCGAATGCAAAGGATAACGTTGCGATAATATTATTACAGGATAGTAATGTTAAAACAAAATTATTCATAGAGGGTACAATTTCACTTATAATGGCTTTTAAGGATTAACGTTGAATCGTGTAAATATAGGATTCAGTATTGAAAGTATTGAAGGATTTCGATTCGTTTCACCTATAAATAACGTTTGCGTAACCGCGCGATGCCGATTGACGGAAATGCTTTGCTCGGAAAATGAAACTTTATTCGAATGTTTCCATGAATAATCAGCAGAAGGTTTCATACGAGAAATTTTCATCGTGACTATATGATCCCGACGCAGAATTGCGAGTATTTACATATGGTTCTACTATTTTGTATGTACATGTAAAATTAATCTTTCCAGATGTGCATGAGAGTATCGGTTGAATTGAATCAAACGACGATGTCCAATTTTATTTGTTATTCGGTATAAATTATCGCTCGTATATCTGAGAACTTTAGCCGTTTTGTAACAGAAATATGTGTCAACATGTTCAAATTAATAATAAATTAACAATTTGAAGCAACACTTATTATGTTTCCTATAGAGTTATCAGTCTGGAAATCCAAATTACCTGTTAAACATCACAAAAATATATATTATTATTTATTACTCTAATAGACTTTATTATATACTACTTGATATATTTACCATTTAAATATTGCAACCAGTTATATTAACATCAGAAGACAATTTTTTACAGTTTGAAAGTCCCACTTTTATTTGTTCCATAACGTAAAAATTTAAGAAACTGGATGTTAAGAATTTGTCAAGTAACGAAACAGTTCTACGATACTGGACAATTACCAATATCAATTTTATTACTGCATATTGGTTTTTGCAAATTAATTTTATTGCAAATTATAATCACGATATTTTATTATACATAGCTGAATGTATGTATGGTGATTATACAGAACAAAATCATTGCAATTCGATTTATTCGTAATTTTGTGATTAAAATACATTTTGTCAAAACTAAGTAAGTACTTGGATACTTTCGAGTGATAACGTATGCGTTACATTTAAGATTATGTTTGAGTAGCTTCTTTCAGAAATCTAACATTATCAATTAGTAATTCGTTTACAATGATAATGTTTACAAATGCACTTGTAATTTAGAAAAAAGTTTAAACAGAAAGATCTGGATATCAAATTATAACTATGTCTGCATAATTATTATTCATATTTCTAATTTGGTATTACGTTGGAATATAATTCTACTCTGTAGCTTTAACGCGAATCTTTTAAATAGTAATCAGATTTCCGAGTTTAGTTCAGTATAATTGAAACAAAATCATATTGTACCTGCAATAGGAATATAATAGTATTTTTATTATGAAATATTTCTATACTTTTACATATACTTTTTGCACTCAAGGTCAGCAGAAATTCATACTATTACAGATCGTTGGATTTGCTTTAATCTTACGTATCATATCGTAATGGAAAAAAATACGTAGATTCATTTAAAAAATCTGTGATGACCTTGAAACCTTGAGAAAAATGACCTTCAGGAAATATTTTACCTGTCATCACGTTAACCTCTTCGAACTAAATGTTCTTCTTCTCTGACATTTTTGCGAGATATATCGGATGCTCGAGTTAGGTGGGACATCCTGTACATTACTCTAATACATTTAAGTGTAACGACACGAACATGCATTATTTTCACACTGATTGCGCAACAAAAATATCAAGATTATCTACTGTGTACGTACAATAGTTAAATTAAGCTATTATTTAACATCATACTTCTTTGCTTCATTATATCATTTATCAAAATCCAGTTTATTACATATATGCAAAAATACAATTAAAAGCTTTAAAATTGCGTACTGTTTTAAACCTGATTGTTTAAATTATTGCAATGATTCTTTACCTTCGTGCCATGTTATCATTCAATTAAAAAGCGACAAGGATAGAGTATAACTAAACTTTTCGTTAATAACTGTGGAACATTCTCTTTCTACTATTTGAAATTAGATTTCTCATTTCTTTTTCTTACATCAATATAAATTATCGACTGATTTGACATGATTCAATGGTATTAAAATATAAAAGTTAAAAATATATTGCGCGAGGGTGCTTCCGCGCCCTTTTTCCCCCGCGCGAGTACGCATGCGTAAAAAATATCTCACGTTCATAGTTGCGCGCGCATCGATGATCGACCAATAAGGAAGCTGGGTAGTAGAGGGTGCTTCGATCGATGCACTCGCCCTAGGAGTGTGCGCCAGTGGGCGACCGTTTACAACGCGATAAGCGTCGCGGCGCCCTCAACGATAGGCAAGTTGAGGACGTTGTCCTAGTACGTCCGCTTTCGCATTCGGTTGTGTTTCCTCGCGCGGGTTCGTTCGCGTCAATTCGTAGGGAACAAGGTCTCCGGTTCCGGTGAATCGTCGCTTGTCGGTGTTGTTATATTTTTTTGTTTACGACGAGGCGACCGTCAACGCGATCGCGATGAAGCAATGAGCTAAAAGATCACGAGTAACGACGACTGTCAAAAAGATGCCGGTACACCGATTGAACACGGGAAATGCGGGCCAGCTGGAGAGTGTTGCTGCGTAATCGTGAGTAATTTTTGAATTTTATTTGTCGATGTTATTCCGCGAAATGCGATTACCGGGACGTAATTCGAACTCGTGCCAAACACTTTCCTATAAAGGTTAATGTACTTGGCAGTTCAATTTCTGTCACGATTAACCGATATACGAGGACGAAAGGTTGTCTCGTGGATTCGTACATGTGTGTCACGATTCGGATGTCCATAGTCGATTTAACCTTCCGATCAAACCAACCTTCTGTATTTTCTTTGGACTTCTAGCTTATTTTGAATCCTCTTGTTTCATTTTTTAATCTCCTGTCATTCGAATCGATTAACAATTCTCTTTGATATTTTAGAATTAGAAATTGGTTCTTCTTTGCGATTTTAGTAGGTTAAGTGTAAATATCGATTAGAATTTGTTTTAAAAATATTTTCCTTGTGATTAGAAATTGTTGGATAAGTCTTCTTGCACGAATCACTGTTATAATTTCATACGTTTAAAAATTGAAATAATTCTAATTGGAGTGCAGATGATATCATTTTTATTAAAAATACGAAATAAAGGGTGTATTTTAGTCATAAAAAATTATGTGACAGTTTTTATTTAATAATATTGCTTATTATTTACATAGTATCTGATAGAATCATAGAATGTTATACATCGTAGAAAATACATAAAAAATTTTATATTATTTTTAATTTATTAGTTTCACTTATCGTGACGATATATAATGGGAAAAGCAAGACATATATTAATACAAATCAATTGAAAAGACGTAACAGGCAATAACAAATTTTTGTGCAGACTGCGTGCAGTTCAGATAGCAATTTTTGATTATATACATTGTGACAACGGAAATCAACATACTGCTGACATACTTATGTACGTATATGTATACCACCTAATGAATGGCAAGAGTAGCCAGGACAAATTTTAATTTAATCGAACGATCTTACCGACCTCGTGCATAATTATCAACCGTGTTCCATTCATTTAAAATGTTGTTGAAAAGTATTTTTAAACCAAGAGGAATTAGAGATGTGTGAAGACTTTCTATTTATATATTATTTGAAATATTTTATAAAACGAATTATAAAAATTGTAAAAGTATAAATGGAATTATAATTAATATTTTGGCAAGTAAAAATATAGGGGGAGAAAATTCATGAATCTTATATTTAAAATATATCATGAATTTTGAATGATTTATAAAAATATAAACGAAATTATATTAGATTATTAATTAAAGAAGAAATGAATGAAAACTACAAATATTAATTACAAATATTAAAAATTATAATCAAAATCAATGTAGCTTTATTTAATTTTTACTTAACAATTTTCTTCATATCATGTAATTGAAATAATTAAATAGAAAATAAAGATGCTTGTAGACTTTTTAATCACGTGCAAACAGGTGCTCTCGATGTCCCTTTCCGAGCCATATAAAAAATCCTCTTGATTTATTTGCTTGTGAAGTCTCAATTTTAAAAATTCTACACTGTAATTGGATAAGCTTTATTTAAAAATTAAAAGTATTTTCAACACATTAAAGTTGAAGTCAGATAGAAATTTCTATAATGGACAATTTAATGTTTAGTGTAATGGACGAACATTTATTATATCGTAAAGAAATGACGCACAATAATGCGCCGTAATTAGGATACCTATAATTAGAAGTTCATTAGATTTCTAGATAATTTTGGTGAATTAATTAAATGCTGGAAATGAGGTTGATGCTCCGCATTTAATATGGTGGTACTGAACAGAGTGAAATTCATCATTTAATAGTTTAATGAAAATTATTGAGAAATTGGATGAATCATTCTAATTATTGTTCAATCAGTTTTCTATTTTATTAGATCATATCATATACATATTACTATATATATGTTGAATAGAATAGTATAATTTTTAGTATTTTTGTGGCAAGTTTTATTATGTTAGTAGATACAATTAATACAGATTTATTATCTTACTTTTATTTTTTTAATAAACTGAAACCGCTACATTATGTTTATTCTATTATTTATATACCATATTTGGTAAGTAACAAATAATTGTTTCTACACAATAAAATTAAAAACTATTTAGACGATAATTGGGAGAATACAATGGTAAGAAAAGAATTCGTGTTAATTTTAAGTTATTATGAGAACATGTGATATACAAAAGTTCCTATAATATATTGTAAAGAAAAATTTTATATAAATATGGGAAAATAAAATCTTATTATGTATTTGGTTGAAAGATAGGTCTAATTTGAATAGATAATTTAATTATTTCGAGTTTCGTCCCTGAAAAATCCTTCAAAGTAACGTTAAACCGTTTTCAGGATCTTAGTTATCCTGTTTTAGTTACGGCAAGTAGCCTGCGGTAACTATAAAAGATAAAGAACCTTAATTGTAAGAATTGCATAGAATAGTTGTTTTTTTTATGTATTAGTATTGGACAGTAATATCTAATTTAAAATATTAATTTACGATAATTCAAATATAATTTTGCAGTAATTCAGATGTTATTACTTGATAATATCAATATTCTTTACGAATATTAATGTCACTTCGATATAATTTCAATATAGATAAATTTTCTATGTATCAATAAATACGTAATTTATAGTTTCAATACCGAAAGGTTATTATAAATAATTATATTAGTTTCATTTGTCTATATATTTTATTACAAAAGATGGTTATGCTACTTTCTCAGTATTTTTTATCATAAATGTTTGTAGCAAAGATAAAAGGGAATTTCATATTTTCATAAGCTATTTTTTGTACACAATGTCATAAATAGATTTTTTAATATTTTTTCAGTATTTTGTACACGCAATATCTTGGATCAAATAGACAATTTAAATTTGTCATAGCTTCTACGTAATGGTGAGACTATGCACGTTTTAAAATTAACAAATTCAGAAACGAGTTCAAACTAATCTAAAATAAATAAAGTTATAGTTTATATAAATTGCAAATTGAAGTAAATATCTTGGAGATTTTGGAATACAAATAATTTGTTGGGTTTGAAATATTTTAAGGAATCAGGAACATCCGATGAAAAATTATTCATTTATTTATGTAGATACTAATATTTTCGTAATGCGTTTTTATGAAAACTTTTATAAGAATACATTTACTATAGAAAACATGTACCTTATATATAAATAATCCAAGTAACAAAATTTCATATTTAGTAGTCGTTTTGCATATATTTTTTTAAATTGTACTTGTTGGAAAATATTTATGTGTATAAGAGTTAGATATACGAGTAATAATATTTTGAACACTAAGTTCTAATTTCGAATATCAACTTGTCTACAAATTGGTCTCAAATAAGAAATACATAGAACATAAGATATTTTACACGAGCGTTAAGGTTTTTGATAAATTTTCTTCTAAATATAAAAAGAAAGAAAGCACATTTATTACAAAATATTTATTCTACACGCGTTAATATATGATCCGAAACAATTGTGTTCCTTTTATTATTTGTTGCAAAATAAATTTTCGTCGATTCATTTAAAAGATTACGTAGAACATACGTATTTTGATTCCCAATTTCACGCGCACTAACTCTTCTCATATTGATTCACAGCTTCTTGCGTACAGTTAAGTGAGCTTTGTTGAATTTTCTATAACCCCGTGTTAAAAACTATATATTGATGTGTCTACGTCTCTCAACATTTTTTTGCTTCAGCCATTACTATACTCTGTTGTATTTTATCAGTGTCGTATAGGTAAGAAAGTAATAGCGTTTTTTATGGACCTTGTGAGAAGTCAAAAATTAAGAAGAAAATCAATTTATATTAATTGCATATTATATTATTAATCTTATTTAATCACTTATAATAAATAGTATTTACCAGACATTATATATTAAATATACATATATACATTATATATAATTATATATAGTAATATATATAGTAATATACATATATAGTATATATGTAGGTAACTGTGTTCTTTCTTTCTTTCATACTTTGTATATTGGAATATTAATTTTGTCACAAAAATATAAATAAATATATATTATGAATAGAATTTATATTTTTGTGACAAAACAAACATTGCAGTACACGAGATATTAAATAGAATACAGTTAACTACATAATATCCTTTTAGTAGACATTTTTTTAAATAGAAATCAATGTATTTCTTCTTTGTATCATCCCTTACAAATGGGAGGATGTATGTAGTAGGTGCTACGATTTCCGCTGGCTGTATTCACTGGATCAAGCTGCAGAAATAGAAATATATTTTTGTATTATTTATATATGTGAATTTAATTGACAAGAAAAATAATTCCCATCGTCTATGAAGAGGTTGAAAATTAAATGTTTGTATAATTCCATCGTGAAAGTAATTTAAAATAGTAATTGGTTTGTTAAGTTAAATGAAAAGGAATTGCGTATTGTTACTTGTGATTTATGTTGTATCCTTGGAGAGTAACGTTTCAATTAGAAAATTAAATTCTCGGTTGCGATTTAAATAAATATTAAAAAATAATAACAGAGTAATATTAAAAATAAATAATAATATACAAAATATAATATACATGTACAGCGTTATATAAAAAATAAGAAATAAATGGAATTCTTACAGGCTGATTTGTTTTTGATTGATGAAAATTTATGCATCTTTAAATTTTTACGAAATAATATTCTTTCTGCTTAAAATAATTTTATAAAACTTATCTTAGACTTATCTTAAGACGCTTACAACTTTACATTATTATCTTAATAATGCAATACACATGTTATTATGTTAGTACCAAATAGTTTAAATACAGCTGTTAGTTAGTATTTTTTATTTTTTAAATCATATTCAAAAAGCCTATTAATTCAATTATATTATATTGTACAAAGTGTCTCATTTAATTATTTTTTGAATTATTCTCTTATGTGTCACGATGAAAAAAAAAAAAACGAAATTAAGCTGTGTAAATAGGTCACACTTCTTGAAATTTTACTCGTAGTACCACTCCTTTGTAATAGAATACATATTATTTATTTATCGTTA